TCTCATACAGCTAGTCAGTCTGGTAGTATAACGCGTTCCACTAACCTTGAAGAAACATGTACGACGTATATCGCCGTGGCCGATTTTAAAGGTATAAAAGACTTGTCTGAAGATAAGTTTCAGTGGCATGAAAAATGCCATGGTGATTAACCCACTGCCGTGGAGGTTTAAATACCCCGCATATACCGCTGTTGTGCTGTTCCGGCGGTAGTATTTTTTAAATGCCCGTTTAAATTTTGCTCTAAAATACTTTATTTATCATAACGTTTGAACTATATGAGATACAATTATGAATTTTTCACTGCAATCCTCTTAAAAGATGGTTTTATAATCTTACCTTATAAGATGAGCAACCTGTGTGTGATCAATGGAAGCAAGTGGATTAGAAGTTGAGTTTTGTATGGTAGTTCTTGAAACATCATCAAAACACAACACCACACCAATAAATAGATTCTATCCATTTCCCGCGTTTCCTGCACACCACACAATGTATTTGAGGCCTTGCATTCTTTCCTGTGTCAGAAATACGCGCCAGAAAATGTCGCCACGCCAGACTATCAGCTGTCTGGGAAACTGAAGGCCAGCTATTCATTACACAATAATGTTCTCAACCGTCTCTTTCTAGGAAACCTTCCTTTGATACATTTCTGAGTATAGGGGTACTGAATTTTGTTATTTGGGACACACCGATACATGACCATTGCATATGTATTCCGACATTGAGTAGCCTCTTGAATTCTTCAGATAAGACTTTTTTCCTCTCTCTTTCGACTCTGTTCCCCTCTTTCGTTCCAGGATTTATGGCTGTCATTTGAACCTTTTTGAGCAAGTTTATCTCCCATTCACAAATAAACACCACGTGTATGAAGGCTAGCCTTGAGAACTATGAGGTCACGCAATTATACTTACGAATGGCCAGCACAGCTACATGAAATACACACACTGTTGCTACATCATCAGAGGGAGGATTCCTTTCACAGCAGACCAGTCCAAAGTTCATAAAGCAGTCGTTATTCATTCCATACTTATGGGCTATAGAAATTAGGCTTACAGCCTTGCGTATATGCACGTAGAACCGCAGATAGGGCAATTTAAATGCCCGCGTATATACACGTGGAACAACGCTCGTGGGGGGTAACAACCCAGATGACTAGCATCCATATTAATATCACCATTGTTTAAAAAGGGTGGGGAGGGAAATAATTATTCGAGGTCTCTGCTCTGGGCTGACGCACACCTGCTTGTAAGTAATTATCACGCATTATTATCGTTAACATGAAGGCTAGTCACCGAACGTCGAATGATTAGCACTCCTGTTTCATATACCGGAGAACCATGGTTCAAATATCGGCCCAGAGACCGGTTCTCCTCACTTACAGTTTTCGTAGTTTTTCTCAGTCCTACCAAATAAATTAGGTAACGACCGCGTGTTTCTATAAGTTTTTTTCCAATTCTTTACTCATTAATCACGCAATCATTCGACGCTTTTTAATCTGAAAGATTGAGAGTGTTGTTAAATTAACCACATATACAGCAAGGCTAATCACACCAGCTAGGAACTGTGGAGAAAACTATTACTTGTAGTTTCCTCAGCTTTCGTTACTGTCAATTAGGCACTGAATAACAATAACAGAAAATTTACACTTATTTTCATGGGATTACCCAGTCGTTCCAGGCAAACTGCGTGATGACAGCCTACCTTAAAACAGGCAATGACAACTTCCTTCAATGTAATTTTCACTTCAGTATTCATAATCATATTACCAGTCGTAGATCGGTGAATATTAAAATAGGTAACTTGTAAGTTTGTTTTAAAGAACCTTCCACGCTGCCACTAAGAAACAAATGAAGTGTTTCGTAAGATTTTCCTGCAAAGTCTTCTGAGCCATAAAGACCATTTATTTTGTTTGGCGGGAGGGGGCAATGCAGAGTCGGATGCCAGCGCAAATTTAGCCCACTTTTCATATAAGTTGTGCAGGAAATGCAGTCTTGAATGTGTACGTGCAAAATCCCCCGTGTTTCCATTTTTTCGGTGCTGATAGCTGACAGACGAATGATAAAGTTTTAAATAATTTCGTTGAAAAGTATTCTGCACTTTTCCTTAATTTTTTTGTCGGATTTTGCACTCTCCTTTTGAGTTGTGCCACATAATTTGACTACTTCTACAGAAGCAGAAGCCCTGTCATCTTTTGAGTGATTTCGAAATTATTTTATTTCAGTGGAATAATCATATAGCATAAAAACTATATCCAGACTTTCTGTTTACAGAGTGATAGAATGTATGAACACGTAACAAGTGCTTGAAGGTTATTCAGAAAATTCTTATATCGAGTCGCTGCCATTTTTCATTATTTGCACTCCATATTTCCCGGCCCTCAATGCTCCAAAATATTCCAGGATCAATATTCCATACTCCTCAATCATGTTCATCAAACGACAACTGAATGACCACCTGGTGGTAGCTAAATAAAGGACTTTTCTCTTCAGATAATCAGTTCTCTTCCTTGAATGTGATGTAAAGTTAGAAATCACGTGTAAGGAAGAACATATGCTGCAACCTTTAATATAATTAAAGCTGAAGATTTCCGTCTTCTGGGTTGTTGCGCTGTGTTGTCTGGGCGATGTTAACCAACGTTTCAGAGGTCATACTGCCTCCGTCATCAGGGCGATGACGGAGGCAGTATGACCTCTGAAACGTTGATTAACATCGACCAGACTACACAGCGCAACAACCCAAAGACGGAAATCTTCATACTCACTGCTGTGAGAACCTCAAGTCTTACATAATTAAAGCTCTTAGAAATAACAATGTTCAATAAATGTGAATAGCAGAGCAAGTGAAGTGTATGGATTCCAATACTTCATGCTGAAGACCATTCAAATCACCGCTGACACACCATCATGCGTTTGAGCTATACGTTTGCAATCTAAACTAAATTCTGCGCATGACTGAAAATACCATCAGAATTTCAGTCAGCACTAACGTCAGTAAAACCAACGAATCTTTCCTGAATTTTGCCACTGTCAATATACCTCCATACCTTGGTCAAACTGTAAGACAAAAATGTGTTAAAAAGCTAAAAATTATATTTTAAATAAAACCAAGCCAATTTACCGCCTCAAGAATCTCGCACAAGGGAAAAATATTCGCGAAATCAGCTCGGCAGACGTGCGGGTTGATGAAGACCGCACGACCTGGCAGTGTTAAGAGGAATTTTCTCTGAATCTCCTGAATTTCTTTCCCACTTCAAGACATGTGCGAAGGCACAGATTTGCACCTTAAGTCGAGCGTTGGGATTGTCCGCTTTGCTGGCGCATGTATACATACTGCATGCAGCAGAGTCCAAGCAAACATCCAGCTTTTATTGGAAATGTAACGTTATATTTTGGATAGATTTGTTTGGGTTTAGTCCTACTAATGTGGTAGCGTGGCTTGGAATGGAGCAAGGCAAGTTCACAAGGATGCTGTCGTCGGATTAAACATACTCAGCTGATATGATATTTCGTCCATGCGGCTACAGCTTGTTACAGACTATACACCATTTATTTCTAACACTAAGTACTACATAAATTTCACATTTGTATTAAAACATTACCTTCCTAATTCAGGCTAGTTCACTTTATCTCAACAACGCTCTGGTTACGTAAATTTTGAATATTTATTCATCTACCCGTACTATACCCGGAGTCATCGCCTCATCGCTTACCTGTTATCAGTAGCCCGATCAACAGCTTGTTACAGACTATACACCATTTATTTCTAACACTAAGTACTACATAAATTTCACATTTGTATTAAAACATTACCTTCCTAATTCAGGCTAGTTCACTTTATCTCAACAACGCTCTGGTTACGTAAATTTTGAATATTTATTCATCTACCCGTACTATACCCGGAGTCATCGCCTCATCGCTTACCTGTTATCAGTAGCCCGATCAGCTGCCCTTGCCCATGGCTTCGGTGACCTCCTGCTATCTTCAAAGTTCCGGCCGTTCTGATCGTGATCGATCTATCTCCCACTTTTCTCGTCAACTGTTCGTTCGTGTTTTCCCATACTTCTGCTGACTGCCTGAAAATTTTATTGATAATTTTTTAACGTATAATAACGCTAGCATACTTTTTGACACGAAGATCAAAACACTTCTATAACATCGACAATATTTCTTTCAATGTCTACAACATAGTTAAATGACCTATTAAAACATAAATTAGCGAGTAAAACATTCGTACTTTAAATAATGAGTTTCGTGGATACAAAACAAATTAAACTTGATTGGTAATGTGTGATCCGGACCAGAAAACGCTATCTGAAGTTATACTTGTATGTTTATGACCTATTTCCATCCAAAGTATCAAATGCCTTGCTCCAAACGTTCGTTAGTTAACGCTGTCAAACTGAAAGCCATAGAACATTTTTTCACAGGGGCCAAGTTATTTTACGTTCTTACCCCCCCCCCTCCCCTCAAAAAAGGTAGGAACCGAAGAAGAAGTTGGTTGCTCTTCAATGATCTTCCATATGCCATTAACAATTCTCTTTTATGTGACGCTCCCATCTCACAAGTTCGTATATCCGCCATGTTGGAATTATCGATTGTTCAGAATTTAAATTTACGATGTTAGAGTAGTTTACAATGGAATGGAGCCAATGACAAATTTCGCCAAAATCCATCCAGAGGTTCTGGAGTTGAAACATACCGACTGAAGTACAGACGCGTTCATTTTGTGCATCTCATCCAAAAGCGCACAATAGAGCCAGCTTTAAAAATACAATTTCATGCGTAAGCGGTTTAAGAGTGAGAGCTGGCTACGGTTAATAGAAAACATCTCTGAAAATTATGAACAGTAGTAAACAACTGAAATCGCGTTTAGCTACATAACTTCGCGGCACTCCTTCCTAGCAACAGGTGTAAACAAAAAGAGTAAAAAATCAATACCTGTAAGCAGACTATTTGCACCTTTCTTATTGCATACTTCAACCATGTAAAATTGTTGTACCAACCTTGTCTCTGAACCTTCGATTGCTTACTCGCGAGACATCACAGGCATCGTTGGTATCACTCATCGTGGTTCACCTTGCTCAGACGACCGACACTAGGCCACTGGACATTTCATCTGTTTCCATGACAGAGCCCATTCCCTCCACCACATCGACAACAAAATACATTACATAACACCTGTTGTGCATCCATATAAACACTGCTATACATTCTTATCGTCAGTAAATATTCTCCTGATTGTCTTGTTCTTTGCAACTACTGCCCCTGTGCTGTAGGCAAGTTTAGAAACATACATCATACCTTAGTATGTAAGAGTTTGATAATGTACACAACAAAGATAACTGAAAAGGCTCATTGACAGTCAACGAGGAATGATTTATTGTCTTTAGATACCTTACATCTCTTCTTCCGTTCCTTTATCCCTTTTGCTTATTCTTATTCATTATTTCTACATCGATTCCTACTTGGAACAACAATGAAATATATCACCTGTGCTACGTACTACGTTGCTCCAATCATCCATATCAAAGTACAGTAAAACCCCTCTAGTTGGACACTTTTAATTGGAACCGGCGAATATCCTATAATTTTACATATTCACAATACCCTATATCTTGGACACCCCTTTATCCTGGAACTTGGTCACCCCTTTTTGTTGTAAGT